AGTTGACAGTAATTCAAGACTTGACTGTGACACCATGGCAACCATCATAATATATGAAAAATGTTTTGAAGGGCACTGGTGATGAGATTTGGAACACTGGTATCTCCTTTGGGTTGCCCTTAGGAGCAGACCCCCAAACAGGGATGTGAGATCAAGTAATTTATTTGGGAGGAGATTCTAAGAAGCTCTGTAGGTAATCTGGGGATTGATCCAGGGAAGGGATATAAGACAATATAGAATGATTTGATGGGCAGACTACTGCTGTAGGCATTTGCGTTTCAATCCGACTGAGGAACTCTGGAGACTGGTACGACTTGTCCCCACTCAGAAGGAAAGAAGTGAGAGCATTGACCACCAACTCCTGTCCATTGGTTGAGTGCCGCTCCTAGAGTCATTAACTCCCATGTATGGGCCTGCCCAGAGCTTGCTCCTTCACCAGGAGAGAGACCTCAGGCGGGAGCTCTCGGTGCTTGCCGTAAGAAACCATTTTCTTATATTCGAATAGGGATGTTGAGGGAATAGAGGGGGAAATCCTGAAATCGCCTGCCACGGTCTGCTCTCTGCAGAGAACAACGGAACACCTGACCGCTAAGGATGACGATTCAAGGAGGAAAATCAATGAGACACCATACTCTTGTATTTTATGCCTGGACAATTAAGATTTATTTAAGATTTGGGGACATCTGCATGTGAGAAATCTGGCAGGGAACAAATGTATCAATTGGGGTGACATGCCGGTTAACAGATTTCAGAGAAAATCCAAACTTTGTGTTCGTTTGGGAGAGAGAGAGTAACATGGCGGTGGTGGGAGAGCAGTGTATGTGGAGGCCAAAGTCAGTTTAAGAATCAGTTGGAACCGAGGTTTTACAATTGGCCTCTCATGACTCAATTCAGTTAGATGACATCCAGAAGACTGGCCGAAAACCAGGTGGGTGCAGGTCAGGGCGATCAGTAACAGGAACCGCTAGAGCAGACTGGGCGGCAGCAGGTCGTCTGGCAGCAGCTGGGGCGGCAGCAGGTGGTCCTGCAGCAGGTGGTCTGACAGCAGGTTGGGCGGCAGCAAGGCTGGCAGCAGCTGGGCACACAGCAAGGGCGGCAGGATGGCTGGCAGCAGCTGGACACACAGCAAGGGCGGCAGCAAGGCTGGCAGCAGCTGGAC